AAACCAGCATGGGACTGATCCAGACCCCAGGAACATGGGTTTCAGTGAGGAAACCTTGGAAATCTACAGGACCTCCTGTAATAGTTCAGTACTCATCCCTAGCATAGGTGTGGACTTTGAGAGCCCATTCCACATAGAGGAATACTCCCTGAGCCAAGACACAAAGGGGTGGGCCTAGGCCCTGTCTCAAAGGATAAGATAGACTCTGATGACCCCCCCCCCATGGAAGGCCTCACCATCCAGGGGGGAGCAGAAAGGACATGTGATAGGTAGGGTTTTAGTTGCTGGGGGGGGGGAATGGGGGTAGGGGAGAAGGGGAGGAGGGGAGGGAGAAGGGACCTGGAATTGTCATGTAAAACAATCTTGTTTCTAATTCAAATAAAAAAAATCTGAAAAAAAAGAAAGGTGAAAGAGTAAAAAAAAAAAAAAGAGTGAATCAAAACCAGTGCTTCAATTAATTTTGGATACATTTGTATGTTTCCTAGAGTGGTGGGGGTTTTTTGTTTGTTCGTTTGTAGCCAATTACCAGAGTAAGGAAATTTATTATGAATCTAGGATCATTGTCTTATCTGTCTGTATTCAGAGTTCCCATTAGCATCTAACCAGCCACACACTGTCTGTTATTCTGGACTGTTTTTTGACAGAAAATCCATATAGTAAGTATTGTTCCTTCCTAACAGGTATATGCTGTTCCTCTCCAGATTATGATGGTAGACGTGGCCATTGAGGCTTCTCCTGTAATGTTATTTTTTGTAATTAACAAGCAGTCTATAGAAAGACATTCTGAGACTGTCAGAGTGTCTTTTCCTGACATTTAGCATCACCATTTTTTTTTTTAGTTGTAATCTACTGTGGGATCCCCTCCCACACACACTCATTTGGTCATTTTATACTTTAGTGGATTTGTCCTTTTGCTTAGCTCCTTATTCAGTGACTCAGGATCCACCATCACATGATAGGGTTGGGGGTGGGGCTAGAGGTGAGACAGGATGTCACTATGTAGCCTTGACTAGTTTGGAACTTGGTATGTAGACCACATTCAACCTTGAACAAGTGCTGGGGTTAAAGGCGTGTGCCCTCCTCCATGTGTATGAGTGGTATACCTGCATGTAAGTCTATATACCATGTTCGTGTAGAGCCCTAGGTGGCCAGAATCAGGTGCTGGATCTTCCGGAATGGTTGTGAATCCCCATGTGGATGTTAAGAATGGAACCCCTGTCCCCTGAAAGTATACAGTGCTCTTAACTGTGGAGCCATCTCTCTAGTCTCAACTTTTAACCACCTGTGGCCTCTTGCAGTGCTATTCTGGTCATACAGAGAATTTTTGTAATTTAAGTTCTTCCCTGAGTTTTCCAGAATGTCTTACATACATTTGTTACCAGCCTGCCACACTCTAACCTCCCCCCCCACACACACACCCACACACACACGCGCGCGCGCGCGCGCGCGCGCCTTCCCAGACTTCTGTTCACCTGCTCAGTTTCCTTATGGGCTTGATCTAGCCTGTATGTGCTGTGCATGACGTCATAGGCATGGCCTTCTGTTTGCACATTTGTGTGGGTGTTCTCACAAATTGAATTGCCTCACACATTTTAGATTTTAGGAGTTCTGTCCAACCACAGTTTTATAAACAAAATCAGCTTTGTTGAGAATCCAATATTTGGGGTTAACAAAAGAAGCCTTGCTTGCCTGGACAAAACATGGGCAGCAACAAAATGATGCTCAGTAACTTTTTCCTCCCATCCTCCCTTCCCAGTTTAGAGAAGTCGGCACTGTGATTATAGGAAGGAACAGTCTAGAAGGATTCCTGCCAAAGTCCTAAGGATGTTGTGCCTAAAATTTGACTTCAACAGACAATAAATGACAGGCTCTTGAGTAGATAGAAGGCATACAGAGTCCCTGCCTTCAAGAAACTACTGTTTTGTGCTGGGCTTAGTAATATACACCTTGTATCCCAGCACTGGGGAGGCAGAGGCAGGTGGACCTCTGTGAGTTCAAGGCCAGCCTATAGTGAGTTCCAGGATAGCCAGGGCTGTGTACAGAAAAGATCCTTGTCTCCAATGAAGAATGAATGAATGAGTGAATAAATGAATGAACATAAAATAAGTAAAAAAAGAAGAAAAAGAAACTACCATTTTGGGAGCTGGGGAGACAGTTCAGTGAATAAGAGTGCTTGTCCTGCAAACATGGTATCTAAATTCAAATTCCCATATAAAAATCTGGGCACAGTCACTGGGCACCTATAACTCTAGTGCTATGGGGAGCAGAGACAGAGTGGAATTCTGGGGATTAATCACTGGAACCAGGTTCCAGGTTCAGGAGGGAATAAAGCAGAGAGTGATATGGAGCAAGACACACAGTGCCTTCCTGTGGCTTCTGTGTACATATGTACGTGTGCACATGTGCAGGCAGAGACAGAGAGACAGAGACAGAGAGAGACTACCATTTTAGTAGGACAGACAACAAACAAATATAGCTGGTGCTAAATGGTACAAAAAAATTAAGTATTGGCAGTAGAGGTGCTTTTAGAAAACACAGAGAGGGGTTGGAGAGATTGCTCAGTAGTTAGGAGCACTAGTTGAGCTTCCAAACAACCCTGGTAATCTCCACCTGCCCACATGGGGGCTTATGACTGTAACTCCAGCCCCAGGGCATCCAACACCCTCTACAGACTTCCATGAACACCAGGCACACATGAGGTACACAGACATACATGCAGGCAAAACACCATTCACATACAAAAATAAATTTTTACTATATTAAAGAGGGAGAGCTAAGAAGAAATGGGATGATAATACTTGGAGAGAGTGAATTTGAGGACACAGCCTTAGGATATTGCTCAGTTTAGAGATCTAAGGATCAAGAATGAGCAACTTAGAAGTCTCTGGTGACTTAGAAGAAAGATGGGGTACTGGGATGCCAGTTGAGGCAGCTGTTTCCAGGAGAAAGCAGTGGTAACTAAGTCCAAATTTGCTGATGGGTCACATATAAGGATGGAGAGCTGCTAGATTTGGGAGACCCTAACAAACTGTTTCAGTGGTGTGCTGGGAACATAGTTCCTCGTTTGGAATGGAGAGAACACACTGAGTGCAGATCACTCTTGGAGAATTTTTCCATAAAGGTGGGCAGAACAGTTGGATGGAATCTAAAGGAGGGATAGGGGACCAAGGGAATAGTTCTGTAGCTAGGAGCCCCCAGCCCACAGTAGGTAGCTAATGGGGATTGTCCATAGATGGGAAACAAGGAACATCCTGCCAACAGAAGGGAAGAAAGTAGTGGGAGCTACTCGTGAACACCAGTGTCCTGAGAAGAGTGCTCACGGAGGGACTGCCTGCCCTGGGAACAAACACCATGGGGTCTGGAGGGAAACTGGAGTATCAGAGTGCCATGCCGTGCCCCTGGACAGGTGGAGAAGCCAAGAAAAGCACGGTTTCTGTCTTGCCCCACACCCACACCTGACTCCCAGCATTTGTAGATGTTCATTTAGTTGACTTTTACATTTTGCACAGATTCCTGTGTGTTGGAGGGTAAGTGGACCCTGGAGTTAATCCTGTTAAGATCATATTCCTGTAACCCAGAAAACCATCCTGGAGTGGTGGTAGGAACCTGTAATATCAGTACTCTGCAGGTTAAATAAAACATGAGGATCACTACTAGTTCAAGACCAGTCTAGACTACACAAAGAGATTTTTTTTTTTTTTTTTTTTTTTTTTTTTTTTTTTTTTTTTGGTTTTTTGAGACAGGGTTTCTCTGTGTAGCTTTGGAACCTATCCTGGCACTCGCTCTGGGAGACCAGGCTGGCTTCAAACTCACAGAGATCCACCTGCCTCTGTCTCCCCAGTGCTCCCAATGCCTGGCAAGAGATTTTTTAAAAGGCAAAGAGGAGGAGGGAAAGGAACAGGGACATGTCTATGATCCCAAGCTGAGGGTGAAGGCTGAAGCAAGAAGAATGCACCAAGACTAAAGATAGCCTGAGCTTCAGAGTGAGACCTTTGTTTCAGAAAGAAAAATAAATTGAAAGCAGATGTTTGAGTGACGTTACAGTTGAGCAAAATATGCTCAGCCTTTCGGTATCATAATTAAAAGTGTCAGCAGCTAGTCTGCTCCATTGTAACATTTGACTGGTTTGAAGAGTACTCTCACCATTTAAAAACTTTCTTAGGTGAAGTAAATTCAAAGCAGGAAGGAGTCTTCTGTGTAAATAAGTGAAATTGAAATATCTAAGCCAAAAACAAAAACAGCTGTTCTGATTGGTCTAGAAAGTTAACCCTGTCTGCCTTTCAGACAGAACACAGCACATAATTTTAAGAATACTGCTTTCTGGATTTTTCTACATACATATACTACATTTGATAAGTATTTGCTTCCAACATATGTCTTTGATCTGTTTGCAACTGAGAACTAAATAAAGACTACCTGCGGGGAACATTGATTTCCAAACTTAAGACAATTTGTTAATGGTTTCAATTCAGGGGCTTTATAAATATATATGATTTAGGTTATGCAGATTGGACAGTCCTTAGGGATACATAAGGGCAGGGCATAAGACTGACCTTTGTGTTAGGATTAAACGTTTCTCTGATGGTGAAATGGTGAAGTACCAGCCTCAGCTGATGACAGTGTGGCTTTTAAAAGAGTTGTCCTATTTGTTGATAATGGTTTTCTGCTTAGCAGAATTTTGGGTGCTTTTTTTTCCCCCTCAGGAGAATGATACACTAAAAGAAAAGATCGAAGGCGTGGATCACAGTTCCCAGCATGAGGAAGATGAGGAAGGGGTACCAGCCCACCTGAAATCACTACAACCGAGTAAGAAAGATGAAAACAAAATGATAGATGCCCTTGACTGGGAAGCAGAAGAGATCACAGAGTCCAGAAATGAGGTAAGTGTGGCAGAAGCTTCCAGGCTTGTCATTTGTCTGTCATGAAGAGTTTGTGTTGGTAAGGAGTTCAGTGTGTAAGTATGCACTGTCTTTAGCAAATCTGGCATAGGAAAATAACATTTAAGTGTGTGTGTGTTAGCTATACTTATAAAGCAATTAACCCATAGACTCATTTTCTCTGGTTAAAGACAGAACTTACTAGCAGTTTTGTTATTTGTGTTTGCCAAGACAAGGGATAAAAGAAAGCTGGCAGCCGGGCAGTGGTGGTGCATGCCTTTAATCCCAGCACTCTGGAAGCAGAAGCAGGCAGATCTCTGTGGATTCAAAGCCAGCCAAGGCTACACAGAGAAACCCTGTGTCAAAAAACAACATAACAAAAATAGCTGACATCCATTTTAGACTATCCAGGTCTGGGAGATCAAACAAAAGACCAGGCTTACAAACCTTTCTCTCAATTTCCACTAAAGCTCAAGTCTTCAGTCTGCCAGTGAGTTATGCCAAATCACTGGCATCCAATAGCACATTCCGTACCCTGACCTCACCTAAGGAGTCAGGTCCAGGCTTCTGGAGGGCATCTTTCTGTACTTGTCTTGGCTGAACAGGGTAAATTCCAGGAACCAAGTTGAAGGGATGGGTTCTTTCTGTAGTCAGTGCTTCCCCTGGTTTCATGTGGGCCATACCCTGGTTTTGAGATCTGGATGATTCTAGCCATAAATTTGGCACACAGGTGCTCCAGACACTTTCACCAACAAAGCACATCTTTGCCCTATTGGTTGTCTTCATCATGACTAGCTTCGGCATCTGCCTTTTTTTTTTTAATCCTATTATGTATACAACATTCTGCTTCCATATATATCTGCACACCAGAAGAGGGCACCAGATCTCATTGTAGATGGTTGTGAGCCACCATGTGGTTGCTGGGAATTGAACTCAGGGCCTCTGGAAGAGCAGTCAGTGTTCTTAACCTCTGAGCCATCTCTGCAGCCCCAGCACCTGCCTTTGTTGGGAGGTGGAATCTAGGGCTTAGTCTTGAAAATCCTTAGATGGAGAGTACCATGCCCTGGCCCTTAGACAGCCCTCATCACCATGTAACATTACATCAAGAATGTGACTTTTCGAGTTCTTGATGTAAAAATCACAGTCCCCATCTTAAAGAGAATAAGAGTTTATTTTGGAGTCATTTTGAGTGACCATGGCCCAGGAACACAGATTTAGATTATCCCAAATTCCATGTTCAAACATGGAAGCAGTTTCATAAAGTTATTTTTTAGTAGACAAGTTTAAAATACTTGGTGGGTACGTCAGGGAGGCAGGGCAGTGAAGTGGGGACAGCCTTTCTATAGGTTCACCAAGATGTTCTCTGAGCTTGTGGGTTGGTGGGAGCTAGTCTGCAAATTTAATACATCACAAAAGGTTTATCTGTCAGTCCCAGAATGTTAGTTCTGACACAGATGGGCAAGAATGGCTTTTTGGAGGGCTAGAACTAGCCCACAATAAGGTAACTAGCTTGTGAACCTGCAACACTGCAACCTTTCCACAGTACTGCATTCTAACCAGTCAATCGGTCCTTGAAGACACTGCTTTGCAGGAGTTTTTGTTCAGTGTTCCCCTACCAACTACTTTTGCCCCTCTTCCAGCCTGCTCCAGTTCTAGGAACTCATTGTTCTTTGTGTGTGTGTGTGTGTGTGTGTGTTACTTTATTTTAATTAGAAAGAAAATTATTTTACATGTCAATCCCAGGTCCCTTCCTCCCCCTCCCCTACTCATTGTTCTTATACCATGGGTAAAAACATGGGTCAGGGCCATGGCTTCTAGAGATTCAGATGAAGAAATCCCTCTGGTTGGGCTGGGAATACAGGCCAGTGGTACAATGACTGCCTAGCACAAGGCCCTAGTTGAATCCTCAACACTTCCAGGAATGGAAACTAAACACTCCCAGGTCAGAGCAGTGTAGCAATTGAAGAGTAAAATTAAACCAGGAGGTGGTGGTGGCACACACCTTTAATCCCAGCACTCGGGAGGCAGAGGCAAGCGGACCTCTGGAAGTTCCAGGCCAGCATGGTCTACAGAGCTAGTTCGAGGACAGCCAGAGCTGTTACACAGAGCAACCCTGTCTCAAGAAAGCTCTGATACTGTACTTAAAAATTTTTGTGTATATATGCATGTTTTGCCTGCCATTGTGTCTCTGCACCATGAACATGCCTGGTGCCTGTGGAAGTCATAAAAGGTCAACGGATGTCCTGGAACTGGAAGTGGTTCTGCAAGAGTAGCTAGTACTGTTAATTGCTGAGCTATTTCTCCAGCACTAGCTGCAGTTTTGACGTATCTTAGCAGGGAAACAAAAATGTCAGATCAATAAATCACTTTGAGTAGAAAGCCTGGAAAAATACCAAGGAACACTGTTAAAATGTGGCCTGGGCTCAGAGTGCAGGCAGGTAATGTGTGCAGATTAAGTGATCTGAAAACCATCGATTCTCACTTAAGAAAATAAAGCTTGAAATACATGCTAAAAGATAGCTCTATTAAATGTCTCCTCCCCATGTTTCTTGAATTCTCAGTCTAAAATGAGTTTAAAGTTCAGCTTTGCTGGGCGGTGGTGGCGCAAACCTTTAGTTCCAGCACTCAGGAGGCAGAGGCAGGCAGATCTCGAGTTCCAGGACAGCCTTGGCTACACAGAGAAATGCACCTCAACCCCTCCCCCCGCAAAGTTAAGCTTCACATATCCCAGCAACATAAAATGAATTCAAAGTATACTTTCAGTGTTTCTAGAAATAGCTAAATTGTGTCCATAGAACTAAGTTTATGACATTTTCTCCCCTCCAGACAGGGTTTCAGGTAGCCCAGGCTGGATTTCTGTGTAGCCCTGGGTGTCCTAGAAATCAGATATCCTCCTTCCTCTGCCTCATGAACACTGGAATTAAAGGCATGTGCCAACATTGTCCAGCAACTATGAACTTCTAGATTCTGATTATAGTCCCCACATGGTGGGACCTAATCCAGGGCTTTCTGTATATATTAGGCAAGCACTTTACTGAGCTGCATGGCCAATCAACAGTTCCTGTTTCTGTAGTTTGAGACAGGACCTTGCTACTTGTACCCTGGGGATGTCCTTAAATTTACAATCCTGCCTCTACCTCCCAAGTGGTGAGATTACAGGAAAGCACTACTATGTCTGGCTTTATGTAACAGGAACAGATAGCCAAGTTCTACAAAACCAAATGTCTCAAAACTGTAGACTTGGGTGTCATAGACTATTTTTAAAACAGTGACAGGTGCACTGGCACATGCCTTTAAGCATACACTTGGGAAGCAAAGGCAAGTGGATCTGAGTTTGAGGCCAGCCTTGCTTACACATAGAAACTAATTCCAGCACTTGTGAGAAAAAGCCTAGTAACTACTATTTGTCTTTCTCTGATGGTATACATTTTGTTTATTATATACAGAGCCACCTACACTGGTCTGATACATCTTTCTCTCTGGAAGATTTATTTCAATTGCTTTCGTCACAGCCTGAACATTCCCTGGAGGTAAAAGGAATCTTGGTTTGTATTAAAAAAAAAAAACTTGAAATGACAGATCTGTGAATTAAGGGACTCTCCTACTTGGATGACGTAGTAATTTTGTCAAGTACATTATGAAGTATACATGCTTTTCATAGAAACACTTTGGAGAATTTAAACATATGCTATTGTCAGATTTAGATCATTCATCCTAGTAACATGAGCCTCTCCTTGCCAAACTGCTCATGAGCTTATCCTTGACCCTTCACAATGTAGATTATGGCTCCAAAAGCAGTGATAGCTACAAGGCTTAATTTAATTCCCTGATTATTCAGTAGACTCCTAGCCCCCAGATAAACAGCATATTCTGATGAGATATATCCCAAGTAAGTTGTTCATAGCCAATAGTATGTCCATATTAGGACACAGAAATTAGATAAAAGGCATGTGATATTTTATTAGATAATGGAACTCCTTTTGAAATAGTATTGTTGTTCTTCAGGGCATCTCACTGGAAGACATTCCACCTTTTCTAAGCAGTGTCAATGAAAGTGTCAATTCCTCAGCACGTAACACAAACTTAAGCCATGCTATAAGCCATGATGTCAATCTTCATGAAGCCATGCTGTTGTGTCCCAACAACACATTTAGAAGAGATCCAGCAAGGACTTCTCAGGCACAAGAACCATTTCTGCAATTAAATTCTCATGTCAATCCTCAGCAAGTCATTCCTGGAATGTCCTTTTCACCAGCTGACAATCAAATGAGGAATCTAACAAGCCAAGATCTCCTGTACGACCTTGATTCAAATATATTTGATGGAATAAACCTAATGTCATTGGCCACAGGATTCAGTCCCCTGGAAGTTTCTCAACTTTTTGAAGAACCAGACTCTAATTCTGGGCTCTCATTAAATTCAAGTTATAACACAAAGTCTAATTCTTCTCATTGTATGTATGATGGTGCTGTAGGTTACAATTGCCATGATCTAGGTGCTGTAGGAGGCTACTACCCAGAACCCCATAAACATTGTTATATGGACCATAGGACTGTATCTGGCTTTCACCAGGATCTCAAATGTCAGCAAATATTTCATGACCACACTTACCACATACAGCCAGATGCACTAGAGCCCAAGTCTGAATCTTTTACATGGTCTGAGAAGTCAAAGAAAATCAGTGAGTGCCATGATGACCCAGAAAGAAACTTGAGCCGTGATGAACAGCGTGCTAAAGACCTGCATATTCCCTTTTCTGTAGATGAAATTGTCCAAATGCCTGTTGACTCTTTCAACAGCATGTTAAGCAGACACTACCTGACAGATTTACAAGTTTCTCTCATCCGGGACATCAGACGAAGAGGAAAAAACAAAGTTGCTGCTCAGAACTGTCGTAAACGTAAACTAAACATCATTCTAAGGCTAGAAGATGATATCTGTAACTTGCAAACCAAGAAAGAGGCTCTTAAGAGTGAGCAAGCTCAATGTCACAAAGCTATTGGCATGATGAAACAGCAGCTGCATGACCTCTACTACAATGTTTTTAGTAGGTTGAGAGATGACCAAGGTAGGCCAGTCAACCCAAACCACTATGCACTTCAGTACAGCCATGATGGTACTGTTCTGATTGTACCAAAAGAACTGGTCACATCAGGCCACAAAAAGGAAACACCAAAGGGAAAGAGGGAGAGAAAAAACTAAACAGGCTGCAGTGGTTTGAAGAGTACTGCTACTTGAATCATTCAGTTAAGGGTACATGTTGAAGTTCATATTGATGTTTATGACTCAAGGTTATGCTTCTGTGAAGTTGGGAGAGCCACACCTTTTCATGGACCACTTCTGTACTGAAATTCCTAAATACCCATGTAATCACCAAGAATTTTCCTCCTTATAGTAAGGTGGTCACTTGAAAAAGCTTTATTATGCTTACAAAATGGAAATAGCCTGTAGTTGTTTTCTGAAGGTATTTTTTTAATATTTATTTAACTTTTAAGTCTGAAAATAAAATTTTGTATTTGAATTTACAAAAATTTTATCAGCGGGAAGTCTTATATTTGCCTTATTCGTCCTTCAAAATAAACCCACTCTAACCCTTATGAAGTTTTAACAACATGCCACGTTAACATGAGATGCCTCCAAAAGTTTAAACATCAAGCTTCAGAGCAGATTACCCCAGCTGTATGCGAATGCAGTCACAGGCCTATATCCTAATAGAATGCAAGTTCTGGTGTTGAGAAACACATGGGAGCAGTACTAGTCTGTGATGGCCTCACAACCAAAAATATTCTGAAGTTTCAGGCTTCACATGTTCAACAGTTAAAACTGTACACAACCAGATTGTAACAGAACAGCCTGTCATCAAATTCAGGTAAGATGTTTAACATTGTACTACATCCTAGTTCCAAAGAAACAATACATTGCCCAGATGGTCAGCCATTGCAGTGTGTCAGTTTCTCCTTTTATAAATGAGGAAAAAAAAAAAAAAAAACTTGTGAACCAAGGCTTCCTACTATTCACATCAGGCATAGGTCCTCTTTAACAAATGAAAGTTAAAAAAGAAAAAAAAAAACTGAATATACCAACAGTAGGGATAAACAAGAATCCAGATAGATTCCCAGCATGTAGTTAGTTTCAGATGACCCATTGCTCAAGGGCACTGCAAAGTAGCCATACACACAGAAAACCCAATATACATCCTGTATTTAAAGGAAATCTTTGAACACATCTTGAGATTTGCACTAATCTGATCCCTCACGTGCCCAGCCAGTCAACCCGCTAGTGTGATCACAGATGAGATTTGTCTACATGTTTACAAGACCATTTGGGGGCTCTTTTAACGGATAGGCTGATTATGCCCAGTAAAGCGACGATGGCATGGGACTTTTATCAAACCCCCCCAGCTCCATATTTCTTTGAAGTCCATAGATTAAAAATTACAGCTCCTGCCTAAGTGCTAATATACCTTGACCAAACCAAAGGTAATAGTTTTGCATTGTCCCTTTGTAATACAGCCACATGTGAATAGACGAAACACACCCAAGATTGCTTCCCATTTGTGTTATCTTTCATAAATGCCATTACCAGTGAAAGGGCTTAGCGAGTAAATGAACACCCTTTGCCAGAGTGCAAAGTTGCCACCAGACAGTCCACCAGACTTTAAATTCCTAACTATCAGGAAGACTCGGCATTAAAAGCTATCATACAAGTCCCAAGTTCAGTTCCTGGAGGCACACCTATGACAGGCAACTCCATCCAGCTCCAGGGAACCCAAAAGCTATATGCACAACAAAAAGCTAAAAAGCTCTATGTACAGTAAAAGCTAAAATAATGTCAACAATCCTTTCATACTAGTCAGCATGAAACCCCACATGATAAAAGTATATGCTTAGTCCCTTACCTTCCACAAGCCACAACCATGCATTAATTTTCCTTTCACGGCATTACCTTTACTGCTTTAACAATGCTTTCTTTGTAATTGTAGTTGAGATCCTAACTTTTTAAAGTAGTTATTTTCTATTTTTTTATTTAAATTAGAAACAAGCTTGTTTTACATGTCAATCCCAGATCCATCTCCCTTCCCTCCTCCCAATATATTTCTCAGATCATCAAATTTGAGGGTACAGAGGGGGATGAGCTCTCAGATTTACCAACTTCAAATTCCCACAGGGGTGGGATTAAGGGCACACACATCATATCCTAGCCACTTCTGGCTGTTAGCTACTAGAGTCCACCAGATGTAAGAGCTCACACTTACTAGTCACTGACTTACCTGTATTGTTGCCTCATTATGAAAATCATTTTAAGTCACCAAGTCCCGTAAGTTTAAACCAAAACACCGAGTTTAACCACTTGCTATTCAAGTGTAAACAAGAATTCACACTTGGCAAGACTTTTCTAGTGCACATACAAATTAGTATCACTCTACCTGGTTAAAATTCATGGTTTCAACCTTAATGCCATTATTAATGTTCAACATAGTTGTAGCAATGTAGATATCATAATAAGGAATATTTTATTAGGGACAGCAAATAATGCCTATTAACGCTTTTCTCATTTGTCTAGTAATATTGAATAAAAACTGTAAATGTATTTTGTGCAAAACTAATTTAAAATTTAAAGGGTTGGCAATCTTGTAGACAACTGGTGTCGATAGAACAAGATTCACACTTGTGTGTAAGCATTACACCACCGTTATTTGGATACAAAAGTATTTATTTTATAAAACTTGTACTCAAAATAGCTTTTATCTGTCTACTCACAAATCCTATTTTAAAACATAATACATTATCCTTAGCTAATTTGATGTTAACTCTTTACAAACAGTACTCATTTCACTTTGTAATTTTATCAAGAACCTGTACTAAATCAAGATTTTTAATCAGAAAACATTCCCTTTTATCTTTAAAGTGCTTCTTAAAGGCACCAACAAGAACTACTTTCAGATGGTACAGAATTTCTTATTTCTTGAAGACTCTGTGGTTGACCACTTCTTCATTAGTTACCTGCAGCAAGACACCTTCCTGCCAAAGGAAAAAAAAAGTATCTGAAGAAGTTTATCATGTTTGTCCAAAGAACCTAAATAACTTCAGTGGTGGTTTTTATGATTAAAGCAGACTCACTGATGTGTATAAGCCCTGAGTATCACAGTTCTGGAAAGGCAATAAAGCCTAGAAGTCAGAGGGTAGTTTCAGGAAATGAATTTCCGTAGCCAACCTACAGCAGTTTTGGGTAGTACAATGGGCAAAATAACCACATTTTAACCCAACTATTTAGTACAGGGTATACAAAAGGGTTTCTTTTTATTGTTGCACAAAAATTTCTTATGTAGTAAAGACACTATCCTTAACCTGTCATCCTCATCCTGATAAGCATGTAAAATTTAGAACCATAAAGTAATAAACATAATGCCTTTTAAATGCCTAGTTGACTCAAACTGCTTGATCCAGGACAGGTGAATAAAATACACAAGGGTGGAATGATAGGTAAATCTCATTTATTGAACTTGCAGCCTAACTTTTACCTACCATTTTACTACCAACACCACTGAAGGAAGCAAGAAAAGCTTTATTAATGATCACTTGGCTTGCCTCAGCTGTTGAAATGAAGCACTTTACAGTCTTTGTGGCAGCAGAATATACTTGTCCATGGTTCATATCAATGCTAAAATTCCAGCAGGGAAAAAAATGATATGTTAAGCACCTGAATCTTCATGAAAGGGAGGGGGTGAGAAAGAAGGAAAAAAGGGAAAACCAAAATAATAAGTAAATGACAGATTGGAAAACAGGGTTTATAAAATTATCTTGAGTTTATTATGTTAAACTCAATTTATAAAGCTATGTTAAACTACATAAGAACCACTATACTGAAAAGACCATTGAAGAGTTTATTAGTTTATCTTTTAGGGAGGAAAATTAAGAAAGAAAAAGTAAATAAGATCTTACCTAAAGAAGTTTAACTGAAGCTTAGAACTACTTTGCTCTACACCCTCAGCTTTCGTTGGCATCCTTATCAACTACTGTAGTTTAAGCTTTGTAGATACAGCACAGTTTCTTAAGACTGGCTGAGCTTAGTCGTCAAGAGTTCTCTTGTACTAGACCTGTGTCCCTGAAGAGTACCTCGCTGGGGTTATTTCCTTTCCTTGCATTGAAGAAGCAGCATCTAAAAGATCTAAAAAGGTGTTTCTCCTTGCAGAGATATCCCTTAAGTTAACTAGATAATTTAATCCTGATGAATTGCAGACAACACACTTAAAACTGACCAGCATTTTATCTTACACAAATACAACAACAACTTTGCAATGGACCTTAATTATACTACCCACTCCTTAACTTATTTAAAATAAAAAGTCTATAATTACACAATTTCCTTTAGAATTATTTTATTAAATCATAAATGTACAACAGCTTCTTAACTCTACACACGCACTTAAATTTTTTAAAGGAAAAACGTTGTCTTATTACACCATGATCCTGGCTAATAGCTTTTCAAAACTTTTGAGAAAAATCTTAAAAAAGGTTTCACATGTCACCTGAAACTTACAAATTTAACATTATCAAAGAAGGAATGCTTCTACACTCTTACAAAGACCACTAGAAAGAAACAACAATTAAAAAGCTAAGAAACTGTCTCAAAGGCATTTTTTACAATCCTTCCTCCACAGTAAGGTAATGTTATTAAATAATCCAATCCATTCACAAAATGGCTCTCTGCATCTGCTCTGGTGTCTTCTGCCATATCACTGCATATTTATGCATGACTGAGATAAGAGTTTCCTTAACATTGTTATTTCGATAACCTGAAGCTGTTCTGTTACCTCTGGGCTCTCATCCTCTCCTATTTATACAGTGAAGCCTGTTTCAACAGAAGTAAAGAGTAAAAAAAAATAGGTTATGAAATTATCCATCTAACCAGACTTTAAGGAAAGATAACATGATCCTAAAATGCTTTAACTCCTGCAGCTAGTTCTCCCAAGGTAATAATAATTGTAAAACTCAAAAGCTACTTACCCATGGTAAATAGGAAGAAGCTCAATATCGGCTCCTTCCACCATAGCCCCCACTTCCTCCACTTCCTCCAGGACCATAGTTTCCTACGATTGAAATAAGGAAGCAAGCTTAGCACAAATTTTGGTTTTATGACAGAGGGGGGTGTCTACATAGAGCTGCCTGTCCTGAACTTGCTATGAAGACCAGGCTGGCCTTAACTCAAAAGAGATCCTACTCCTTGTGAGTGCTGGGATCTGAAAGGTGTGTGATGTAACACCTACCATCTTCTAAATATGTTTAAGCATAAACAGCTTTTAAAAATTTGGATCTCACCTCAAAACAAAAGCAAAAAAAAAAATTATGTTAAAAGACGCTTCTTCAACAAGCTAAATGGCAAGTTATCGTACTTGAGACATGGTTTCATGTTTAGTACATTAAAGACCCTGAAAAACTTATCCTCCTGCCTCTATTTCCCCTCTTGCCATGTAAAGGTGGACCTATGTAGCTCCAGGTCAGCCTGGACTACATAAACCCGGTCTCAAAGAACATTATCCCTGCCACCCCAATCAATCACCTCTAACATTATACTTCAGATGTATGTTAACAATTTTATGAGCAACAGAACCGCTTAACTTCTATACCTCAATTGCCTAGATGTATTTCAAGTCTTATTACCTCCACCATATGGTCCTCCCATGTTCCTGCTACCACCAAAGTTTCCACTCTTCATTGGGCCATAGTTAGAAGGTTGCTGGTTATAATTTCCAAAATCATTGTAATTTCCACTTCCATAATTTCCTATGAAAGAATTAAGAGTATCAGCTAATAGACCTCTGAACTATTATAAGAACTAAACCATAACTGAGGTTTAATTTTTAGGATAAATTTTCTACAAAAATCAAAGTATATGGTACCTATCTATAATCCTACAATTTAAAGCATCTAGGTGACAATAAAAATAAGTGTCATTAATTCTAATCCAAATTCCAACATAAAGGTTGTAGATGAATTTATTACCTCCTCCATAGTTGTCATAACCACCTCCGTAGCCCCCACCCTGGTTGCCATATCCAGGTCCTCCACCACCATATCCTCCTCTTCCTCCTCCATAACCAGGGCTACCTCCAAAATTGCCACCTATTATAAAATAAGCCTTTAAGTAATTGCTTAAATTTTTACAATTCCATTTGAATTGTCTTTATTACACTCATTTCTGGTTTTTCAAAATACAACTTTTTTTATAAGGTTAATTATTTTAGTCTATTCTAGTCTATTTACTCAAAGGTAAAATAACTATTCTTGAGCAAATGTTTCAGGGTCACAAACCACCATTTAAAACAACGTAAGGTAACCTGTAATACCATTACTATATACTTTGAACCAGAAAATATTTGAAATTCTTATGCTCTGCAGTTTGAGGAAGAAATATGGGGACAGCATTCAGGCAAGATTTAAACTCTGGCAAGCTGATCTCTTAAGTTTGATATCAACTTGGTCTACATAGAGATCATCTAAAAAAACAAAATTTATAGGCTATGGATAAGTCCCTTAGGTAAAATGTTATCCTAAGGGGATCCACCTGTACTCTTGATATTCCCCCATAACACACAGACCTCAAAATCCCAACATTTTAGCTTTTCTACAAAGTGCAATCCCCACCTAGCTACAGGCATGCTTTGCTTAGCTACAAAACTCAAGAGTGCATTTTTAAAAGCCAAATAACAATTACACCCAAGTACGGACAGGCAAAATAAGTGATACACATATTTAATAAAGCACAAAGTATACTAGTAAATATATTAAATAAATATTAAACTCTCAATGAAACTAACCTCCAGGTCCTCCTCCATACCCATTATAGCCATCCCCAAATCCACGTCCACTTCCATATCCATCTGTTTAGAAAAAGTAAAGTTACACTTATTTTTCTCAATATTTTCTATTAGTATCTCAGAATGAGGGTGGCTGAAAATCTTAACCAGTTTATTCATGGGGGGGGGGGGTATGTTAACTGCATCTTACTACCAAAGCAACTCATTTTTTAAAAACCCCAATTGTTAATAAGAAAAATTATTTTCTTAATATAAAGGTCTAAAGTGCATCAAAACTTCTAAGTCACAACATTCACACAAACTATAACCTAAGAAGAAATAAATTATCTACCAGTTTTGACAGTTTTTTGGGGAGAAACAAAGACTTATGAACAGTCTAGTGTTTATATTGAATTCAACGTGTGTGCATGGCTGAGGAAGACACTTAACTTCTAATCCTCCTGCCTCTTGTTCCCACATACTGAAATTAAGGTGTTAGGGATTCAACATTAGGCTAATAGCACCATACATGCTCAGCATGTTTTACCAACACACAACACAGGACATCCTAAATCCGAATAAAACCATTCCATTCAAAAATCATGCCCTTTAAAAACACTCACCAGAACCCCCCCTGAAGTTGCTTCCTGGTCCTGGTCCAAAATTGCCGCCGCCACCACGAGAATCACCAAAACCAAAGTTTCCTAGGATATATGTTTTGATTAGTAGCAAGCATTCAGACAAAACCCATCAAATGTATATATACATATAAAATACACAAATCTAAAAATGTATGATTTCTTACCTCCTCGTCCACTCCTAGAACTTTGGACTTCTTGCATTTCTTGTCTAGACAATGCCTTTCTAACTTCTGCATTGTGACCATTGATGGTGTGATATTTTTGCACTGAAACAAAAACAAAAAAACTGAATCATAAATACATTCTAATAAGCAATTTTTCTTTTGGTTTTTCCAGACAGGGTTTCTCTGTGTAGCTTTGGAGCCTATCCTGGCACTGGCTCTAGAGACCAGGTTGGCCTGGAACTCACACATATCCGCCTGCCTCTGCCTCCTGAGTGCTGGGATTAAAGGTGTGTGCCACCAACACCCAGTGCAATCCTGAATGTTTTAACAGGCTGTTAATACACCCAACATTTTATATACAACCACTCTTATGCCTAGACACTTACATACAATTTTATCCACAGGATCATGGTCATCAAAAGTAACAAAGCCAAAGCCTCTTTTCTTCCCAGACTGCCTATCAGTAATTATTTCAATAGTATCAATTTTCCCATATTCTTCAAAGTAATCTCTAAGGTGGTGTTCCTCAGTATCCTCTTTAATTCCACCGACAAACAGTTTCTTCACAGTCACATGGGCTCCTGGTTTTCCAGACTCCTACAACAGATAGTGACAAAGTTATCTGACAGAAAAAACAAATACACAAATTAAACCACCTTGAAAGCACAAACTTATACTTCAGTCTTAGGACAAATTCCTTCAGATATAGCAATAGATTTGAAGTTAAGTCCTAGAAAGTCATGTACAAAAAGCTAGTACAACCCAAGAAAACCACTGAACATATTTTGCTCACCTCTCTTGCTACAGCACGTTTTGGCTCAACTACTCTGCCATCAATGGAATGAGGCCTTGCAGCCATGGCAGCATCTACCTCAGCCATGGATGAGAATGTTACAAATCCAAATCCCCTTGATCTTTTGCTTGCAGGATCTCTCATAACCTTTAAAACCAAAAGATGTCAGCATTAATTTCAAGGTAGTTATGAACAAACCAATTGGTCTTTTTTATTTTTTTTTTTTTTTTGGCCAGGTGTGGTAGCACACGCCTTTAATCTCAGAATTTGGAGAGAAGAGTTCGAGGCTAATGTGGTTGGTTACAGAGACACCCTGTTTGAGAGCCCGCCCCAATGTCCTTTTTTATATACTAATTTCCTGTATGATTCATCCCAACAAGAAAATTATCCTTTTTGGATTTTTGGGAGACAGGGGCTTCTCTGTGTCTTTGGAGGCTGTCCTGGAACTAGCTCTTATAGACCAGTCTGGTCTCAAACTCAGAGATCCGCCAGACTCTAAGGGCTGGGACTAAAGGCATGTGGCACTGCAGGCTGGCTCAGCCCAAAATTTATGCTTAAACTCAACCATACTAAAACCCACAGTCAGACTTTCACATTTAACGTACCACACAGTCTGTGAGCTTTCCCCATTGCTCATAGTAGTTTCTCAAACTTTCTTCTGTAGTTTCAAAGCTTAAGCCACCAATAAAGAGTTTGCGGAACTGCTCCTTTTCTCTCTGTAAAGGAAAATACCATTTCAATTTTTATTTACATTTTCTCTTTGTATGCAGGAAATTAAATTCTTAAATATGAGGTGACCTGCTGGCAGAGTACCTTTTTCCTCTCCAAAGGAACAGTTTCTAAAGTTTTCTGGGGGGAAAAAAAAAACTTACATCAAATTTAAACCATATGTTAAACTGCATATTAGTTGTGTTACACCAAAAATTGCCTCAGCTGAACTATGCAAGTTTTAAAGTCACTAATATTTGATCTAACTTTAATTCATATAAATTACCTTAGCTTACACTTTCTTAAAAACCTTTGAGAAAAACCATAACCAACTCTGATTTAAAGGGTATCAAAGAATTCTTATGAAATTCTTTATTAAAGTCTACAACTCAAGCACAGAACTTTGCTCAAACTTATTTTTTTAAATTGAAAAAAAAAAACCCTGAAATTTCGATATCCACTGCTTAATTCAGGATTCAATTTCAGAGTAGTGGCAGATCTGCCTTTCCTTAAACTGCCCCCCCACCCTGGAGTTAGACTAACTATTTCAATGGGGGATCCTTCAACTCTGAAAGAAGTTCCATGAGTAAAGTTGAACACCAGATATACGCACCACCTCAAAATAGTTTTCTTTTAACTTAGCAAAATTTATTCCATCTAATTTTTTGGGAGGCACTCCTTGTCTGGTGTTCAGGCTACAGTACTAAGAAGCACACATTTATCTACAGTTGCTATTGCCCCAACAGTTACTTTACATTTTTTTTGGAGCCTATCCTGGCACTCGCTCTGGAGACCAGGCTGGCCTCGAACTCACAAATATCCGCCTGCCTCTGGGATTAAAGGCGTGCGCCACCAACGCCTGGCTTAACTTTCCTTTTAGTAATTAGTGGCCTTCTGACAAATCTCTCAAAAATTTCCAATAGTAATTTCCTGAAGTAAATACTAAAGTTGTGTTATTACTGACTTATAAATAAAACAGCTTAAAAACCAAGATGCTTATAAACTGGGTAATACTATCCAGGACCTGTCTTGATTGCATAACAAACTGAAAAGACAAAATTCATAACACACAAAAAATTTCCACAACTCTTATTACAACCCAAATCTATTAAGGTTCCTTCAAAAAAAGTCTGTAAAAATTTTGTTCGATGCCCTTTCTCAGGTTCTGAAATTTGGAGAAATTGAGTAGACAAAATAGGTTAAAGATTAAAATAGGACGTGTAAAATACTTAGTATGACTGGAAATCCAAGTTTCCAGGCAATTCTAGATAAATGTCCACAGATGTGCCATCTTTAAATTCAAACTGTAAGCATAAACTTACCATTTTTAATGTCACTAACAAAAAGCAAAAGCTTATTACTTACCTCATAGGTTTTTCCAAACTTACCCGACGTCCACTATCGATTATAAACAAGGTTATTTTATAAACGTGCTTAGGGTCAAAGAATATAACCAAGTAGACCCCTTTAATTTGAAACCTTATGCTTATCAATGTAATAATCAACCATTTGCAAACATAAATCAGAAAAAAGCAAATGACAAAGTTCAAATACATTGTGTCCCAAATAAAAGTTTTTACATAGCTAGGTTCCTGCGTTAATACTGGACTGTTCCATGCTGTAATCAAAGGTGAACTACGAAAAGTTATTTTCTCTTCCCTAACGTGACCATCACGCGTAAAGATCTGTTGTTTTAGGAACAAATCCTGTGGTTCCCTTTAAAATCCTCATAATCTGAATTATTTCAAACATCAGGATCCTTCAGGAAAATAAACATACGCAGCAATAAAAAAATATCCCTCCGCCCAAGATCACCTTCTAACTACAGCTGAGCACTCTGGGCTTCCTTTTACAACTGCAGACTCACAAATCGCTTAATTAAAGGAATTAGGAGCCAGCTCGGGGAAGTAAAATGGTTTCTTTGCTGCAAGGCTGCCTTCAGCAGCAGGCTCAGGCCCGGATCGCACTCCTCGCCCGGGGCCTGCGCCGGGAACCCTTGCGGAGGCCGCCGCCACCCCCACCCGGCCGCGCACACCGTGTGGCTCGGGAGCGCAATGGCGCCATTTCGTCGAGGGGGAAGGAGGGCGGAGCGCCTAAAACGAGGTGCGCAGGACTCCGAGATCAGAGCTCAAAACACCCCAGATCCCCCTCGGAACGCCACCAAAACGGGCCGGGGACAAAGGAAACCAGCTAATGGCTCCCACGCA